GGGAGGCATAGTTTGGACATAGCGAAGGCCTTCGATCGGGTCTGGCACAAAGCGCTTCTTTCGAAGCTTCCTTCCTATGGGCTTCCCGAGAAATTGTGCAAATGGATCACCAGTTTTCTTGCTGATCGGAGCATCAAGGTCGTAGGAGACGGTGCATGCTCTGAATTCAAGCCTATTAACGCTGGTGTTCCATAAGGCTGCGTGCTATCACCAACGCTGTTTCTCCTGCATATCAATGATATGTTGCTAACTGGTAGCATTCATTGCTATGCAGACGACAGCACTGGTGATGCCTTATATACCGGCCGTGCCAATATTTCTCGGGAAAACGTCGCTAAGTACCGGGACAAACTTGTGTCTGATGTCGAGTCTTTACTTAACAAAGTCTCGGATTAGGGCCGACTAAATCTAGTCCAGTTCAATCCCCAGAAGACACAAGTTTGCGCGTTTACCGCTAAAAAGAACCCCTTTGTCGTATCTCCTCAGTTTCAAGGCACTCCCCTTGCTGCCTCAGCTAGTATCGGAATCCTTGGCGTCGACTTATCGAATAGTGTGCAGTTTCGTGGTCACTTGGAAGGGAAGGCCAAATTGGCCTCTAAAAAGCTTGGCGTGCTCAACAGAGCGAGACAGTATTTCATGCCGGCACATCGCTTGCAACTTTACAAAGCGCAAGTTCGGCCCCACATGTAATACTGTTCTCATCTCTGGGCCGGGGCACCCCAGTGCCAGCTCCTTCCACTTGACCGCATCCAGCGCAGAGCGGTTCGAATCGTCGACGACCGAGTTCTTTCTGATCGGCTCGATACACTGGCACTGCGTAGAGATGTTGCATCTCTCTGCGTATTTTACCGCATCTATCACGGGGAGTGCTCTGAGGAATTGTTCGAACTAATTCCAGCCGCTCAATTTCACCATCGCACATCGCGACAAAACTCGCGTTACCATCCATACCATCTGGATGATTGGCGGTCCACCACTGTGCAATTTAGAAGAAGTTTACTCCCTCGCACAACTTCCTTGTGGAATCAATTACCACCAGCGAATTTTCCGGACCGATACGATACTTAGGAACCTTCAAAAAAAAAGCTTACACCTTTCTAAAAGGCCGGCAACGCATCTGCAATTCCCCTGGTGTTGCGGTTGTTCATGGGCGGCGGTAGTCACTTACCATCAGGTGAGCCGCATGCTCGTTTGCCCCCTCTTCTATAAAAAAAAAGCAACAAGCAAAATCGCTACGGGAAGCCTGTGTCACAGAGTAAAGAGTAAGGACCAGAGGGGAAGCTTCTTAACAACGTCGAAAATGTATACCTATTCTGATAGGGTTGTCACATGACGCATGTAAAAAAATTTAAGTAAAAAATATAAATATTGTATAGCATAAGACAACATGTGTATTATAACTCATATATGTTTAGTATCGATTAATTTTAAACAATAAGGAAAAATTAAAATATAATATACTGTATATAATACTTAAAAAAGTACTTAATTCACTTGATGTCTCGGGTACAAAAAAAGGAAATATCCTTATTTTCTCTAGAATTATTCATGCATACTGTACAACTATTAGGCATTTTTGCTTATACAGAACACTTATTATTTACCTATTTAAATTTATAATAACTTAATTCTTAATTATTTTAATTAGAATACTTAAATCAAATTATTTAATAATTGCAAAAAAATTAATAAATTAATTGATGTATAAAATTTCGAAATATTGTTGGTCTATTTATTTAAATGCGCACGAAGCTCTTTCATGGATACTCTGACTGAGCCGGCGCAAACCGTTTTGTACCCCGACGAAACGTCTAACAACAAAATCTGTATTCCTGTTCACTTCACCGAGTTCTATGGCAACTCCTTCACAGTTCAAGCCTTTGGAACTCCTTGCCCGATGACATCAGAAAAGCATCGAATAAGTATGTTTTTAAAAAATTGGTCCGTAATCATCTATTGTCGACAACGCATTTTACGTGATTCATCCATTTGATATGTATTGCTAAACAGACGCATATATTCATAGGTATTTATATGTACAAATTATATATTATGTATTTAAATATGTATATTTGTATGTATATATTTGTATATATGTTTGTATACGTCTTATATGTATAGTTTATTTATTAGTAAATTGTATGTATTATGTAGTTAATTATTATTTTGTGTAGTGTTATTTTATTATATATTGCCGCACGTACGTCAAATTCTCACCACTCCATGGGTTGACTGGTAGAGAATGCCTCAAGGCATTAAGTTCGCTCTTTTGTTTTAAGGAATGCAATAAAGAATAAATAACTAAATAAATAAAAAACGTCGGTGAACCTGTCTGTGAGAGCTCACGTAACATCGCTGCGCTATGTATAGGTGTATTCGCAATGTGCCGTTTGTATGTAGCTTCCCCTCTGGTCGGTTTCTTTACTCATGTGCCTGTGCGTTCAGCCCGAGAGTTCAATGTCCTTGACAGTTCGTTGACCCCGTCAATGATACACAGCTTTTGCAAAAATACAAACGCCTAAACACTTGTAGAAATTTTAGGAATGTTTATGTATTATTACTCACAGTTTATATAACACTATTCCATTGCTTATGTCAGTATTAATGTACACTTTAGAAACTAACACAAATAAATAATATAAGAACAGTTATGTCAGTCAAAATACAGACTACACTAAGAGGAAATATAATACATGGTGCTCGCTTAGACGTCGCACAGTAAACATATACATACTATACTTGTAAATACAAAAATAAATATATATAACTACAAATAACCTAAATAATATACTCTATACCCGATACATAAACATACATAATTTTTAAACAATACACAATACATACATTTTAAGCATACTTACATACAAACATACTATACAAATACAACTTAAAAAGCAGTGATCAGTCACCATTCTTTTAAAGGTTGCAACAGAAGTCGGAATATTATATATTACACGATACACGATAATTGAACAGCAGTAACAGCATCCCCACTACGATGGTTTTCTGCTTTGCAGTGACCACGTTTGCCATCGTGATCAGTATGAGCGAATGTTACAAAAAATTCGATGTGCTTTCCTTTTCATTCGTTGATCGCAATTTCAATTTTTTTTATAGTATTAGGGTGACAAGCGAGCGCAAAGCCCATCCGATGGTAAGTGAATGCTGTGGTTCATAAACATGCCGGAGGACTAAGATGGAATGCTCATATCCAGTAAGAAGGGTCTCCGGTTCCTACACTCACCATACGAAACACAGTAGCATTGAGCTGCTATTTACGCTGGTATTTTGTCAGAGCGTTGCCATTCTCGGTCGAGCCAACTTATTCTTGCCACAGCTATAATATAGCTGCAGCATATCTCTACCACGTTAAAAGTACTTACTAATTTACTTAATTTTCCGATAAAAAATGTCAAAAACATCGAGGGTGACTTTTCCTTGCTACAAAATACTCTTAAAAATTTCATGCCTGCTTCTGGCAAATGAACGTATAGATAGAGAGATAGATAGATAACTCTTTATTGTACGCCAAAAAATAACAAAAATATTAACAAAAAATCAGAAAAAGAAATGTGGTACAATGGGCTGTCTTCTCTCTCCAGTGTGTGATCTCTTCCAGACAACCTTTGGCTGGACAGCATTGCAAGAAAAGAATAAAAACGTGTGTGGTTTGCTGATAAAATAACATTATTTTTATTAAAGCCATAAAATAAAAATGGTATATAAATAACTACATAGATAAGATAAATACATATATACTTATTAATATATATGTATAAATGTACAAATAAATATATATTTATACATATACATATATATATATATATATATATATATATATATAACTATATAGACTGTTACTTTATTGCCTTTACAAAATAACCCGAAAGCTGTGTCTAATATACTAAACATTAATCCTTCGGCACTCGTTACTAAAGGGGAACATGTCACCAGAAAGTGCTTAGCCTCAACTCATAGAGCGGTTACATATTGCAGTATGGAGCTTGTGCACACATGACGCATTAGTGCACTAACAGTGTCGCCATTACACCCTCTAGCACAAACTTAAAATTGATGTTTCAGTTCCACGGTACCGGTGTGTCCCTTATACCGGTGTAAAATATCGCATGTAATGTAAAATAAAATGTAAAATCAGAATAAAGATCTGTTGAAGACTTGAAGATGGAGTGCCTCGTTGCCCGAAAAAATTATCTTCTCTTCTCCGCCTTTACCATACGATATAGACACGATAGCATTAAGATCATTTCCCAGTCAAGCAGATCCATTTGTGCTGCAGCGAGGTTATACCAATTAGGGCTAATCCGCTCACCAGATGTCGCTAGTTAACACTGAGGTGAAGATTTTTGTTACACAATGTCATTTAATTGAGAAATAAGATTTAAATAAAATGTTATCAGTTTCTAGAGTATTAAAGTAATACACAAAACAATGCCTTAGTTTGCTCTTTAATTTTTTGCACATTTGTACCTCTTTTTTTTAATTTTTCTACTATTTTGAATGTGTGGTTTGGTTTATTTATTTTTAATCTTAATCTAATTAATATAAAATATAACTAAAAGTACAAGCACAAGAAACATCAATCTTTACATTTTTCGGTCAAATTAAATTCCCCGCTATGAAGTCTGTCAAATATTACACCTCATTTTTAAGTGGCGCCGCCCTGGTGGTAGAAAAATTCATGGATGCCCTTGTGGAAATCATTGGCTTGGGAAAGATGGTGATATCCTTGAAAACTCAGATCAAAAATCGCGAACAGTGACATGGTTGCTAAGTGGTTGCATATATTGTAAACCCAATTTTCATGTATGTAGCATACTACCAGTACGTTAGGAGGCCCATACAAAGACTAATATAGACCTCTTATAGTGCCGTATTCGTTGCTGAATACTGTTTAAACCCCATTGAAAGAACCATCGTCTGCCGTATATAGAAGAAGAACTCAGTGAAATAACCATTACATTTACATCTCTTTTTTTCAGAACACTGTTCATCCTGCGACGAAATGAGGTCATCGAAGACTGCCAAGCAAATGAACTAAAGGCTAACGAGAACGAAGTTACACGTTTCTAATGAGGTGTATTTATTTATAAGTTAATGTTGCCTGCCTGTTACGTACCTATTACAAAATCTCAATAAATTTAAATTTGTAAATTATTTTCGACAAGTGTTTTATTTTGTATTCCTATGTTTTTGATGATGTTGTAATGTCCGCCAATACGTGATGAGGCAGCAAAAGAGTTACCCATCTGTCAGCAGCAGCGCGACGGACTCTTTATAGCTATTGAAACGGTTAATTTGTTGCAAATGCAAAAGTGCTATATTTAAGTGGAATATAAGTGTAAAAAATTCAACAGTTAGTATGGTTTTCGTAAGAGGCAACTATGAGAAATCCAAATACACTATCATTTATTTCGAAATCATTTATTAAAGATTTATATAGGGGTGACCTCGAATCCTTTTTACCTACTATCATTTAAATACGCGCCATCGGTCTCGTTATTTTCCACTACATATATTTTTTATTATATTCAGAAATATTTTTTTCTCAATATTTATATAAATTAAATTATAACGTGAGCTCAGTGAATCAGTGATGTTATACGTAAACAAGCAGAGAGTTTAAAAGAACTACGTTTTAAACAGGCAGATGTTGTTTGGTGACGTCTTTTTTTGACACTGACTCAGGTTATTTGCATACTATGTATATAGTTACTCTCAGCTGAGATTTGTACATATTAAACATTTAAGCAGGGCTTGTAGGAATTTGAAAATATTACGACACTGTTGATAAAGCTATAAATAACAACGCAAATATGTATATTACGTGGGGTACCTACACTGAACGTTTTTTGTTACACATAATTAAAACAATTACATATACCGTAACACCGTGCAATGGCGGTGTAAGAATATCAACTACTCCATATCATCCCGTAGGTGTCGTAAGAGGCGACATAGGGAAACTGAAGGAAGAGATGGGCAGCAGTATTTTTCTGATAACAGCAAAATTATAATAACAATAACTAGTCAGTGCTGACCCGATACTGACATAGCGTAAATTGATTTGGAATTAGTACATCGCTGTCGTGCCAGTGCTGACTTCAATATTCATACTTGAATATTTTGAAGACAATCCACTCTCCCCACCACCCGAGTCAGCGATATTGTCCTTATCTAAACGTTCAGGTCAGTACTAAGTCAGGTGACATCGTGTGAACAACATAGCAGAATCTCCAGTTTCTTTTCTGCCGTCTATCCATTTTCTTATCCAAAGACGTTTCTTTTTAACATTTTAAGACTTCAACAACGTGCGTGTGTGTGTGTGTGTGTGTGTGTGTGTGTGTGTGTGTGTGTGTGTGTGTGGGTGGGTGGGTGTGTGTGTGCGTGCGTGCGTGCGTGTATGTGTGTGTGTGTGTGTATGTGTGTATGTATGTGTGTGTAGTGACCGAGTGAAGCTGGCCACAGTCGAGCGTGTACCTGCTCTATTACCGTATGTTCGAGGTCTTCGGGTGTCACAGACAAGATTAGCTTTCTTGAAGCGAGCTTTAGCTCGTCTTTTATATACGGGATCCGTTGTAAACTCTCAATTTTGTTTTGTACCCGGTACTTATTATCTTGATCAATCTCATGAAGTTTCAGGTTTAGGAAATAATAAGTAAATTCAACGCAATAAAACTTGTAAAAGTAGTTTTATTCAATTCTCTACTAGTTTTCTTGCTAGTTCTTCCTTCCATCCAATACCCGCATGTTCCAAAGTTGGTTTTGGTATAAAAAATTCAGTTGATGCTATTTCAAAATGTCTGTAGTTCTACAGACTTCGAAAGAGGGTCGAAAATTGTCGTTTTTGTGAGAAATTCTTTTACTTCAGAAAAAAAAGAAGAAACTCTTACAAAAAAAAGTTTTAAAACGACCACGGCTTACGTACGAATCCAATACCGAAATATATTCATATGCCTTTATTCTAAAGAAAAAGAGGAAACGCCGAAACTTTGCATATATAATTGAAGTATTATGTATTTACATACTTACATATTACTTAAAATGGTATCTTCCATTGTAATATATTTACATATTATAATAGTATCTCCCACTGCCGCTTTATTAAAGGCCAAAGAAAGAAAATGTATTATCAAAAACGAAAGAAAATAGATCCATGGTCACTTGAAGCATTATCTACGTCAAATTATTCGTGAATTATAAGCCGTAGCAGACCAGCCCCCACTATCAAAACCTGTCCACTAGGTCGACGCAAAAAATCCTAAATGTTATTAAAAAAACGTAAACAAAATAAATTAATTCTAGGCCAAATCTAATTAACCGAACAAAAACACAGACTACAATAATTGTATATTACAATCACTAATATATTATGACGACAAAGAATTCAAAAATAAAGGTATTACTCAACAAAATGTAAAGCTGATGTTTTCAGTTATTAACATTTGAACTCACAATATACTTTTAGAGTCGTACCATGTTGTGGATGTGGAAAAATATCCACTTCGTCATATCATTCCGTGGGTATCGCAACAGGTGACAGAAGAAAACTTAAGCAGATGGGCAGCAGCTTATTCTTGGCAACAGTTGAATAAAAAAACTAAGGTTGCCAACCCGCTTGTCATGCATGGCAACTAGAGTAAATATCCCCTCTATGAAGCAATCTATGAGGGACAGCTATGTTCAGCAGAGCATTTTCGTAATACTGTAATGGTAATAATTTTAGAACGTCTAATATCCTTTGGCCTAGATTCTAGAGCCATGCATTCTTCGAAAACCCACTAGAAGGTGCTAATGGGAAACTTCAATGCAAAACTAGGCACAAGAGAGAACGGGGAGCTGAAGGTAGGGAAATTTGGAATAAGGCAACGGTACCCAAGGGGCCAGCAGCTGGCCGACTGCATGGAGAAAGATGGACTTTTTATGATAAACTCTTTCTTCCATAAGCGGCCCCACAGGAAGTGGAACTGGTTGAGCCCCGACGGTTCAACAAAAAATGAGATTGACTTCATTATGACGACCAGATGACAACTGTTCAGTGATGTCTCAGTGATCGCGAGAGTGAAAACTGGTAGCGATCACCGAATGGTTAGAGGCACACTGAACCTAAACGTTAAGTTGCAGAGGTCTCGTCTAATGAAGTTCAGAGTCCCGAAACCTTTCAGGTCGCGTTACAAAACCGTTTTAAGTGTCTAGAAGACTGTAATGAAGTGGACGATCTGAATGGCAACCTCGTGGAAACTGTCCATGCGGTTGGAGCTAAGTTCTGCAAGACCCGCCTCAAAATAACACAAAATCTCTCCAATCATACTCTTAATCTCATGGCTGTAAGACTTCTGTAGATTTGACAGCATACAGACAACTGAATAGACAGATATCCAAATGCGGGACTCATGTAACTTCAATACAGCTTGTATTGAATAAGCGATCGAGCGTAACCAATGCTCCAAATAATTTGCCAGAGATCTGTCTGCCAGAAAGAGCCAACTGTCAAAGCTGAAGACCGAGTGTGGCTGCATCGTTTCCGAGACACCTGGGATTATGAGTGAGATCGAGAGGTTCTATGGGCTTCGTTGGATCGACACGCAAGTGTGAGTAACGAGCCAAGAGCGAGTCTTATGCGACACTATTCCGAAGATATCCCGGACGTCAGTCTGAGAGAGATTAGAATGGCTCTCCAGCACCTTAAAAACGGCAAGGCCCTAGGTGAGGATGGAATTACAGCGGAGCTTCTGAAAGCGGGTGGAAAACCGGTACTTGCAGTCCTTCAGAAGCTCTTTAATTCCGTCCTACATGGTGGCACTACTCCGGAGGCGTGGAGCAGAAGTACGGTGGTCTTGTTCTAAAAGAAAGGCGACAACACTCACTTGAAGAACTACAGACCTTCCTTTTTCTCAACTCAACTTTTCCTTCTGAGCCGCGTCTACGTGCTGTTTTAGAGAATCATTATGAATCATCTCGCACGCAGACTCGATGACTTACAGCCTCCCGAACAAGCCGGTTTCCAAATGGCTTTAGAACCATAGACTACATGTACACCCTTCGGCAAATTGTACAGAGTGCCTTGCGTATGTGGATAATGAGAAAACCTTTGATTCCGTCGAAATTTCAGCGGTGCCAAGTTGACTGTCGGTATTTTGAAGTGCTGAAGTGTTTGTACAGTAGGGATACGATGGCTATCCAAGTACAGAATCAGAGTACGAAACCTATTCAACTACAGAGAGATGTAAGACAGGGTGACGTTATATCCCCGAAACTCTTCACCGCTAAATTGAAAGACGTTTTCAAGCTACTGGACTGGAAAGGATACGGTATTAACGTCAATGGCGAGTACATCACTTACCTTCGATTTGCCGACGATATAGGTCTTATGGCAGAACCGCTGGAGGACTTAAGCACTATGCTCAATGACCTCAATAATGTCTCCCAATGGATAGGTCTTAAGATGAACATGGACAAAACAAAGACGTATAACGTCCATGTCACACCTATGCCGGTAGTTGTTGGGAGCACTAATCTCGAAGTTGTTGTATGTTTACCTGGGACAAATAGTCCGACTAGGTAAGTCCGAATTCGACCTAGAGGTCAATCGACGGTCGACATCTTCTCGTTAGGTATACCTTAAAACTTGAAAAGTAGACTGTACTAACAGTGCGTGTTGCCAGTGATGACTTATGGATATAAGACGGGATCCTTCACTGCCGGCCGTATGAGCACGCTCAAGGTCGTTCAGCGAGCTGTGGAGAGGGCTATGCTCGAAGTTTCTCTGTGAGTTAAACTTAGAAATGAGGATATCCGCAGTAGAACCAGAGTGACCGACATAGCCCAACGGATTAATAAGCTGAAGTGGCAATGGGCCGACCATATAGCTCGAAGAACCGACAACCAAATGGGAAGAAATGTTCTCGAGTGGCGGCCTCATACCGGCGGACGAAGTGTAGGGCGGGAGGTCGCCCTAGGTGGAGTGACCACCTTGTAAGACATGCAGGAAGTCGTTGGATGCAGGTGCTCAGGACCGTGCTTTGTGGTCCGTGCTCCCCAAGGAATCTTGGGGGACGCCTATTTTCAGCAGT